AGGACTGAGGTAGGGGTTTTGGTTGTAGTTCAAAATTGACTAAGAGCGTGTAGCATTTAAGAACTTGTGATTTAATTTTAATCCTAGAATTATCCTAAAAACTCTTTATATAAAATGTTATTAAGAATAGTCATGGTATAAAATGTGTGTGTGCATGTGTATTTACTTTGTCAGCAGTGGATTTCAGCCCCAATTAGAAAGTTTTTGGAGGTGCCTGATAAGATCTGTTAATGATTTCTGTGTTTTAGTAATGCTTAAATGTAATTTGATGTTTTTCTTGAAATTGTTCTAGCTTTTTTATTGACTATTTATTACACACTGATCTAACATACTCGGCATGTTTTCTGGCTTATTGAAAAGTACTTGTGGATTTTTGGTTTTGCTTGGTTGGTACCTTTTGAATATTTTTGGTACACATGAAACTTTTTTTCCAAATATTCTAGATCTTGAGGCTTTTGGACTTTACCAAATAATTCTAATGTCTTGTGCACTATTCATTTATTATAGTCATTTAGCCATATTTACAAAATACTGGACAGTTTTTCTTTACCTCTGTTGCCCTGGTTTTACTGGAGCTGTGCAAAAAGATGACATATAGAGGAATTTTTAAATTGTCTCAATTTGTCTAGTGTGGATGTTATCATCTGATCCTGCTGTCCTGCCTTTGACAGAAAGTATACATGCATCCATTGTAGTAGAGGCAATGGTCATAGCCTTCCTTCACTTCAACTGAAAATAGTCGGTAGTCTGTCCTCTTAGGAATATAGCTAGTTGGTAGATGTTAAACTTATTCTCACACTGTTCTACCATGGTTTCAGACTAGTCTACTCTAAATCAGAGAGCTGAACAAGCTGCTGATAATACAATAGAACAATTCTTGTTTTTTGAATGCAGTGAAGTATCTCTTCCTATTTAAGGTACTCCTTTTCCCAAATAAAAAAAACAAAGGTATCCAGATGTACTTTCACAGTCTGAACCTGTGGGAGTACTTTGCCAATAGAGATTGATGTATCAATAATTCATTTCTGCTGTGGCTGCTGTTCTTGCCAGCATAACTATCTGCTTACAGGCTTTTCTAGTACTGTTGTGTTGCTTGGGAAACAGACCGTCTTTGTATCCACGTTAGTGTGTGTGACGCGCCACTAGAGGGGCATCTGGGATTCTTTCAATCTACAAGTATGACAAAGCTAAGAAGTATAGTAAAGAATTAAAAACAGACTACACATATCAGAGCTCTATGGTTAACCACCGAAGCACAGTACAATGACTGCTCTCGGATGCACGGTATAATGACTGCTCTCGCCCTTTCCTTGTCCTTATGGGCCACCCCTCCGGTAGAGTTTTCCCCGGATTGTTCTCACCACGCTCGAGCTGCGCCAAGAGGATTCAGGTTCTCTCTGGCAGTTGGCATCAGGGGCGTCCCCGCTGATGGGTGGGTTGTCGGTCCGCAGGCCAGCTGACGGTGAGTCCCAGTCCACACAGAGGTATGTGGCTTACTTCCTTTAACCCTTCCCGGGCTTAGCTCATTATTCAGTCAATCGGTGCCAGACCATAGCTGGACAATGGAACAGATGGCCTCAGGTGATAACAGTATGGATGCCAACAGGATGGTCGACAGGATGCTCAGCAGTACGGTCAACAGCTATCAGTGTGCATGTTTAACAGTTGCACGTTTAACAGCTATCAGTGCGCGTGACTCCGGCCGTGGTGCACCCGGGGTTCCTAAACTCTTGGGGAGCACCCCAGAGCAAACCCCTCTTCTACGGGCTGCACCATCCTGAGTCCCATGCTTGCCTGTGTGGCGCCTATCAGTGTGGGGAAAAATATTTTAGATCTGACTTGTGTTAGTATCAAACTGATGTTGACAACTCTATTGCCTACCTCAGTTAATTAGAGGAAAAAATAGAAGTGATTTCATCTATCAGTGGCTTTGACTTCAATTTTCTAGTGGTTACTGGACAGTCTCAATTGTGGGTCGGGTTAGACATTCTTCTTCCTAGCCTGCATGTCAAACCAACTCTAATAAGAAAGAAGCATCTTAGCTATTACATAGAAACAATAATATTATGTCTACTTTCTGTATGGGCTATGTTTAGGTCTCCATAAATTGCTAAGTAGTGTTATCAGCTTGTTGCTTTTGCCAAGTATCAGAAGAGTAAAACTAACCAAATATTTTGTGAGTTTGTCTACGTTTCACTTGATGAAACCATAAGTCTAGTAAAGCTCTAAGCAATTTTCTGTTGCAGGTCTGTTAGTTTTCTGTAGAAGTATACAGCTATTCTTATGGTCACAACATTTTGTGTTTAAAATAAATATGTAAAACATTCATCTCCCTCAAATATGACTGGCATCTATTAAATCTGATAGATCAGCTGCCTTGGTTCTTTCACAACTTTATTCCAGAATTGTTGTGAGTTTATCAACACTGCAATTGCATTCACAAATGCATATTTAAAAAACAAAAAACACACACGTTTCAGTATCACTCAGGGCAGAAATGTTTTTTAATTTGTATTTGCAGTCCACTTCTTACCTTTGAAGTACTACAAATACAAAGTAAATAACATTTCTGACTTAGTATATTGTATAATATTGCTTTTTTCTTGTTCTTCTACCAGCTACTGTTTTGTAATTCTTGTTCATCATCTTCAGGAAGCTTTGATCTAGAGAGAGGCTTTTCTGTCTAGTTGTGTAGGAACTGATCCATTTACTTTTGTATGCAATTTTTGTTAACACATTTAACTTTCTAGGTATGGAATCCGCCCTGAAAATGTGATTATATATGGCCAAAGTATAGGAACAGTACCATCTGTGGATCTTGCTGCTAGGTATGAAAGTGCTGCTGTAATTCTTCATTCTCCACTGACCTCAGGCATGCGAGTAGCTTTTCCTGATACAAAGAAGACATACTGCTTTGATGCATTCCCGAAGTAAGTTGTGGAATTTCTTGTGTATGCATTTATTTTTTCTTTAATTGAAGTTTTAGAATAGGAAAACAAGTAATATGGCAAATTTCCTGAATTTTATTTAGAAAGCTTAAAAAAAATTGGAGAATGATCAGAGCAAATCACAACAATAAGGAATATTTGATTTGAAAGAGTTTACAAAACTTTCTAAATCTTCTAGGGTTTTTCACATCTTTAATCATTTCAGTGAGTATCTGTTTAAAAGTGATTAGTTTTCTTATATGTAACCACTCAATGCTAACAAGTAGTTCTCTTCCAGTGAGTTGCTAGTCTGAGTAACTATAAATAGTCTTTTGCATGTATTCATTTAAGTAGTGCAGACTGGAAAAAATAAGTTGACTTTAATTGAAGGAAACTAATTCCTTTCATGTATTATTTCAGAACTATGCTACTAGTTGGCTGTTGCAAACTGGTACACTTGGCTAGAAGAATTGCTTGCATTTGAAGTATCCAACTTCAAAGAGTTTTTTCCCCCATAGAGGAACAAAAGTTAAGAGTCAAAATTCTTCCAATTCTGACAAATGCTTTTTCTTTTTTTTTTGAAGCAGTATTTTCATCAGTCAGTGACTTTTTTTAATGAACATAGTGATGAGTACAACTTTCAGATTGATTGCTTTGTTACGCAATCTTAATAGTTTCCACCAGTGTTTTTCTTTTCTGTGTAGCTTTACGTATGCTACTGAAATGGCTTCCAGAGTGTTGATAAGATCTAAATTTCTAATGATTTAAACAGCTTGAAAATTAAATGGTTAAAGCTACAATGTGTAATTAAAAGGTGAAATTAAGTGTCTCGGGTCCTTTGAGCTTTAATAAAGCTGACTGTGTTCACAGATATAGTATTTTTCTTACAGCATTGACAAAATCTCTAAAATAACATCTCCTGTGTTAATAATCCATGGGACTGAAGATGAAGTAATTGACTTTTCACATGGCCTAGCATTATTTGAGCGTTGCCAGAGACCTGTAGAACCACTGTGGGTAGAAGGAGCCGGCCATAATGATGTGGAACTCTATGGACAGTACCTTGAAAGATTAAAACAGTTTGTGTCACAGGAACTAGTGAACTTGTAACTTTCTTTGAATGTTTACATGTGTTTTTTGTTTCACTGCAGAACTGCACGCCTTGATAAATATATAACATGCAACCTGAAGGTTATGTTTTCAAATCATGTTGGTTGCCTTCATTAAATGTACAGGTAATGATTTGTCAACATAATTAATGAAGGTTTTAGTGCTAGTATTATAAACTGGAATTACATGATCATGCAGTCAAGCTAGGCAGTTCATATTACTGTGTGAGTTTTTTTTCTTAGATGTACAAAAAAATCACAAGGAGTACTGTATGATATTTTAATTCTATAAAATCAGATGCTGTAAAAATGTTGCCAAATGCTTTAGCATGTCAGAAGCAAGTTTATAAATGTTTTTTAAACATCTCAAAATGTACTGTGACTTATTCTGTTGCACAGGTATAAATTAAAAAAGATTTCTAAGCAGTTATCCTGTAAAAATGCAATAGCCATGAAATTTGAGCAAATACTCATCTATCTAATGAGAATAGACACATCACTGGAAATGACCCATGCCCTGTTATAGAGGGAGTAGATCAAAATAACTTTTTTTTGTATATTTCATGTCCCTTGTGCTTAGTTTTGCTTTTGTTGGTTTTTTTGTTTTGCTTTTTAAACCTGAAAGGTAAGGGTCAAATTTACCCACACATCATCTCAGCAATCCTGGTCCTGCCAAAATAACGTTACAAGTTACCATTGTCATAACATAAATATCATTCACGTGATTGTTACTGAGGCCACTAAGTACTTTTTTTTTGAAATGAGTAAGACTTTTAGAGCTTAGAAAAACTTTATGGACAACGGTTTTAAACACTGATCATGTAGAGATGCAGTATTTCAATAGAAAGAACGTGGAAGTTTATCCGACTTTGTAATAAACAATTTGCAAGCTTGCAGTTGTTGGTTCAGGCTCACTTTTGGGTGTTTAGCGTAAAAGCTTATTGTTTTTTGAGCATTGTATGGGAATTTTACTAATTACTTCTGGACAGTGGGGGGAAGGGCAAGAAGAAAATATTGACACTTTTCTATTAACTCAAAGTTTTTTTTACTAGAAGTTGCCTTTCCCTTGAATGCATTTTGCTTGAATAAAACTACAAAAAAAATATATGTAGTTGAATATGTAAACAAAGTAATATTCCAACAATACACAATGCTTCTAATTTCAAGGCCTTATGTAATTTAATTCTTCTGCTTGTTTTTGTGATTGTTTGAGACTTGTATAATCAAATGTGTTACCAAGTATTGTGAAGACTTTGGTTCAGATGTGTTGATTAACAGTAAACAATATTCCATACGCTTCCTGTTCGTTCTTTTTTCTGAAAAGAAATAGCAACATTTAACTGTAATACCAAAATAAGTACCTCCCCACTAACTGTAGGAAATCTAAGAAGCAACGCAGTAACCCATTATTAGTTGTTGGCCAATTTCTGTATCGGCATTTATCGCTCTGATTACCCTTGCGCTCCCATGTCTCATAATTTTTTTTTTCTTACAGTCAGCTGCTTAACATACAGGTTTTCTGCTGCAGAGCTGCATTTCAAACATTCTCCTGTGATGAATTCAAGTTTAGCTTTCATTGAAGTCATCAATGGCTTCTTGTCCTCTTCTCCCTGGTTTGTTATTTGAATGTAATGAAATTAAGCTTGTTCTTGAACAACTGGGGTTTGTCTGGCCAAGTAACGATCAGTGTGTCCTGAACTCCAGACTAGTATTCAGGCATAATAATGCCAGACCCATAGATTTTCATCTTAACCCAAGATTTTGCAATTGGAAATGCACTTTAATAGATATCTAACTCAGCTTTATAACTTTTTTATGAATTAACTCTGTTTCCAGAGCCCTCTCTAGAAATATGCAAAAAAAAAAGTGTGGAACTGCAATGGATAATGATACAGATTGACTGGTAATACTGCAAACTGCAGACAAACGATCAACTGTCATCACTAGAACAATCCCATTTGAGTTGCGTGCTAGGCAATGTTATGGTACCCTGTAATTGAAAGGACAAAAAAGATGGCATAGCCGTTTTGCTGCTCATTTCTGTGTTTTTGTTGAGGCAGAACAAAAAGCCTAAGTTTTGCTTTCAGTAGATGCAAGTGTGCTAATGAATTACAGTGGGAAGTAAAGATTCTGGTCTCCCTGGGACTACTTATGCATGGTTAATTATTGCCAGTTTGTTCTGATTTATTTAAAAAAAAATTAGGTGTAAAATATATGAACATTGTTTACTGAAGGAATGAGAACAGCTTTTTTGCATAGCCTAGCTCATATTGTGTGTCATGTTATGACAACAAACCTGTTATTGACAAAGCAACTCTGAGCTACGGTAAGTAGAAGGAAAGCATTTTACATGGTGGCTGTCTTGCCTTTAAACTATGGTTTTGGTGAAATTCAAAGAGCTGTTGTGTAATGTTATAAATACAGTTGTTTCATAATAAATAAGAATTGATTCAGCATTCCTTTTTAAAAGGACAATGTCTGTATTTTAGGGAAAAAGAAAAAATATTTTGTGAACGATGTGGTCTTGCTTCCTTCCCTTCCTTTCTTTGAAAGCCAAATATTTAAAAGTTTAAGTTTTGGAAAGCTGGCAAATCAAATTAATGAAGTTGCTTAATGTGAAATGTAAGATCACGTGCAAAAGGTGTTGTCTTCTGGGGCATGTTTTTGTCCTAGACTAAAAGGCACACCAATAATCTCCATTCCACTTGCTGCTTCCCTGCAACAAAGTAGTCTAGTCAAGTCCAATTAGCTACTGTTACTGACTGATATCAAACTTGCTTTAATTTTCAAGCCTTTCACAGAAACCTTTGCATGTCTTCCTTTCAGGTTTTCTAGATGCTTTGGTTGTGGTTTTTGGTTGTGGGAGGTTCTTAATTGAATGCCACTATGAAGTAAGGCTAGCCACTCACTGCCTCTTCTTATAAAATAAGAAGTATGGCAGAGGAAAAAAAACTTCTGTCACTGTATGACAGACACTGTGACTGACTATATGTTTTGATCAGCCAAAAGGACAAATATATGAAAATTTTGAGAAGCAGAGGGAAAAAAAAGCCTCTGGAAAAATATTACAGAATTGCTGAGGGGGGAAGGGACCCCTGGAGATCATCTAGTCCAACCCCCCTGCTCAAGCAGGATCCTCTAGAGCACATTGCCCAGGATCACATCCAGGTGGGTTTTGAATATCTCCAAAGAAGGAGAGCCCAGCACTGGACACAGGACTCCAGGTGAGGCCTCCCCAGGGCTGAGTAGAGGGGCAGGATCACCTCCTTCCACCTGCTGGCAACACTCTGCCTCATGCAGCCCAGGAGACCCTTGGCCTTCCTGGCCACAAGGGCACACTGCTGGCTCCTGTTTGACTTGTTGTCCACCAGCACTCCCAGGTCCTTCTCGGCAGAGCT